TGGGGAGAGTTTGCAATGGCTGCAAGAAACTCTTGTGTGCCGACTGAGTGAAATCCATCGATCTCCGTTTATTTAACTAGGATGAATAGTTGAATACTTCTTTCCCACGACACATGTCATAGAAGCTCTCCTGAATTTCCTATCAGAAAAAACAGAAACCTTTGTCCAAATTCAGTCAGAGAAGCAAACCTATACCAAAACATAAATTAGGTTATTAAAAAAAAAAAAAAATCAACCTCAGTCAGGTACAATGGCAGAGGAGCTGGCAGAGAGCAAGTGAAACTGCAGAATTTAATCAGGGCTCAATACCTACAGGTATTAGGTTATGTTATGAACACTCTCAGAGCTGCAGCGTCTGGTGCATTCAGCAGCAGCTTGGGGATAAAAATAGAATTCAACGAGAACACTAACAAAAATGTGTGAAACCTTTTCAATAAAAATGGATGGAATTTCATCATTTTTTATTTACTGTTTGCGTTTCAACTTCAACTCACTGATTGCTGCACTTCTAAATATCTTGTCTCTCAACTACCTGGTGCACTTGTGCATTTCTATAGAAAACACAATAAATCCAAATTTATTCCACATAGTTTGAGTCTTTAATGCATTTCCACAATTCGTTTTTAGGTTAACCTAGTAGTAGGTGAGCTAAACGTGCTGTTCCTTATAATTGCTTTCAGTTTATTAGAAATTAAAACATAAAAAAACAAAACCACAGGATCATACAAAGGAGCTGTGAGAAAGAAATACAGTTTTTTATTACCTACACAAACGATCATTATGCTACAAAAACATATTGCTTACAAGGGTTAACATAGCATAGCTTTCATCAGTCTGTCTTACACCAAGGCATGATTTGTGTGGTCAGACCAGCACAACTGGTGAAAACTATATTTTTACTATATTTATTCAGAGGAAAAATTACAAGTTCCTCCTTAAAAATTTTTCATTTATAGCAGCACACAAATTTTCATTTTTATTTACATACTTTGCATAGATAAGATATAATTCCTGTTGTCATTCACACTCTTAGTTGCAAAAGCTTGTTATGGGTATGACACTCAAGCTTACACTAGTAATGTAGTGCATTCAGTTTTTTAATTTTGAAGAAATAATCCCAGTCAGGACGGCAGGTAGAAAAGCTGAACAGACTTTGCTGCATGAACATGCACAGTTTTTGAACTCTATCCACATCTCATTCATAGTTGTGGATATACATCAGTAATTATGTTTCATATCAGATATCAGATTTTTTTTTTTTATCAATCTAGGTTTAGGATAATAAATCCATCCCTGATTATTTAGCTAAATATCTGGTAGCAAGTTTCAGAGAAAATGCATAATTTAAAAGCCACTGCAAAGATGCTGGAGTCATCCTGGCTGCATATTTCCCTGCTACTCTTTGCAGATTTTTATAGCTATTGTAAATTGAAGCATTGTTGTGTCAAAGTTTAAACTTTCTAAACCAAACTGTCACAACTTAAACAAAGTTAATTGGTTTCTACCCTTAGGAATGAAAGGAGCCACATGGACCAGTAAAATGCCGATTGAAGAAAAGTGTAATAATCGGATGTTCCACAGATGTTCATGCTTGGTCACAGGGATGAGAGTACTGTTTAAAAGAGTGTGGATAATATTTTGAGGCAACTATCAGAAACAGTGGTGGAAGCATCATTCTAAAGGTCTGTTTTATTGACAGAGGAACGGGAGCATTGGAGAATATGGATGGAATAATAAAATCCTCAAATCAGAATTTTTACTCTGCAAACTTGGACAATGCTCCCAAAGACAAAAATGGTTTAGGAAAGGATTAGGTAGGGCTAAGCCCTTCTGAATTAAAGTGATTTTTCCAAAAATTAGCTAATCTGGACATATCCAGTGAAAATAACACCCTAACTAACAATGACCTGGTTAGCAATTCATTTAAATGATTTCAGGGGTATTTTGATTATTTATATTTAGCGATAAACTCAAAGTCCTCCAGAAATTCTATACCGGATTCCAAAATTAATTTTCACCTAGAAGAATCATTTTTTCATTAAATTAAAATATTACTTTAAAATTAAACCTGAGAAAAAATGTAATACAAATTAATTCTAACCTTTCTACTTTAAACTTGTTTTTGAAATTCCTTAATTTTGTTTGTGGTATACTCCATCTACTTTAGAAAAAATAAATAGCTTCAGTTCAATAGAATGTATAAAATCAAAACCTACCACAACGTAAAGATCAATTTAACCAAGTGCTCCACTTTAAGGGAGGTCTGGCTCTTTGTCCCTCACATAGTTCAAAATTATTGCCAGAGTATCATAAAGTAAGCAACTAAAGTGATCATCAGAAATGTTTGTTGTCTACTTCTTTGAAACTACAAACTTTGTGTCTAGATAACAGATTTAAAAAGAATCATGGGCTTTCCTGAATAAATTATTTCATTTCAGATGTAAATTGGTCAAGTTATTGTTCCTAAAGTCTTCTATGAGACTGGAAAGGTTCTGGACCAGCTTTAGTTTGTTTGCTAGGATTATTATAAAAACCGTCACATAGCAAGGCTCTGCTTTGCCAAGACAGTATCTTCATGCATCTTCATTTCAAATGTTGCTTTTGCGTCCTTAAGTTCTGGAAGTCCATTATTCTGGCGGCACTTCAGTTAAGCTGGATTTGCAGAAACCCTTCTGACATATTTTATTACTACCAGACTTTTCCAGTAGATCTGATTCCATAAGTAATGTTATACAGCATGGAAGACTCCTCTGTGAGGGTTCACACAATTTTGATTTAAGAGGCTTCTTTGGTGTTATTTTTACAAACTCAGATCGACAAACACGTGTTCAAAGACCATTGATTTTCCCTTCAGGCTGGAGGAGAAAATGAAACTCCTGCGATCAGTAGACACCACAGTAAAGGAGCGGGGTGACTGCACGTAAATATCCTTGAACTTGTGGAACGTTTTGGTCTCTGTGTCCCACAGATAGATCTGCGTGAAAGAGTAATCACTGCCCAGAGCTAGATAGTGTCTGTCTGCGAAGCTAAAAGGCTGGAGGATCATAGCTCCCCGGGAGGGAAGAGCCTGCACCTCAGTAAACTGCTTATTGACCCACCTGACAACTTTTGAATCACCGATGTAACAAGCCAGAGCCAAGTGCAGTTCCCCCTCCAGTCGAAATGCTTTGACTGCCACCACATCATCAACATTTGGGATGTCACTGTAAAAGATGAACTTCTGGGTGCTTTTGTTCCACAGATATATGACAGGTGACTGCGAGCGGCTTGCTAAAACAAGGTAGAACTTCCCATCCACCTCAACAATCTCAGCATCTGTGTCACGAAACCATTCGTGGAGGAACTGGTGAGAATAGAAACCGGTCTCGTTGCGATCTGGTCGGTCAGTCCACTTGTAGAGAGTAGATATGCCTGCCTTTGAACTGTCCACAATCAGAAAATACCAGTGCCCATCTATCTTAAAGACCTCCATGTCATTCGGCTTTGAGATGTTGAAGATCTCGATAATTTGGAACTTGGCGAACTTGTTCTGCTGCTCATCAAACTTGTAAATATGGGAGCCTCCAAAGAGCTGAGTGACTATTATCAACATGTGGTTCTCAAATAGAAAAGACTTGCATCCCACAACCGATTTTCCTGTATGAAAAAATAAGAAATAAATAAATATTGATTTTAGATCAGAAATGTAATTTTCTTTTTTAATGCTTTAGGAGAGGTTTACATATAAGATAAACATTTTCACACTTTGTCAGATTACAACTGTTGCTGTAGCTGAAAACAGCTGTCAGACCTGTAATGTTGTCGAATTTTCTGAAGTTCATCTCAATGTGATCCCACTCCATGATCACACAGCTGCTGGAGTCTGGGGCAGCCAAGGCTACAAAGATGTCCTCTTTAAAGGAAAAGATGTCTGCTGACATGGACTGAATGGGAATAGACTGATGACGCACGAAGTCTGCAAAACAGAACAAAGTTTGCGGATCGAGGGCTTGTTTCCGTAGTGACAAGCTTAACATATGGAGTGCAGTGATTAACAGTAGGAGTCAGTGATGTGTTTTCTTATTATCTCTGCGGGCTTCTTCTATATTTATTCTATAAATGCATAAAAATCAGGTAAGGCTTTGTTGCCAAGGAGGGTTTTACACATATGGGGGATTTGTTTTGGTGAGGAGGTGCAGCAAATAGGCAGGCAACATACAGTTGAGATAAAAAAACAAAAAATTGGGAACACAAAACTGAATAAACTGTATTAGAAAAGGAGAATTGTATCATAAGAACTCCACTTCATTCGTTTTTAAATTTCATTTATTGTTATTTAATTTTTTGTAATAACATTTTTTCATTTGCAAAAAGTGCTTAGAACAACACTTACAATAATGCCTTAAATATATATATATATATATATATATATGAAACATCAGCTCTTAATCTTCCTTTTGCCTTTAGGTTTAGTCTTATGCTATTTAATCATACTGAAGTAATTGTTCAGCTTCTGTTGGGTTCAGTATTTATTGTCTGCCTGTAAATATTACTAGACAAGGCAAGTGAATTTTTATAGCACAATTCAGTACAAAGACAATTAGAAGTGCTTTATATGAATTAAGCACTACAAATAATACCTCGGTTTAGTTTAACAGTCAAAGGCAGCTCTAAACAAATGGGTTTCTACTTTTGACTAAAAAGAA